TCTCTCTCTCTCTATTTCTCTCACCCACCCACCCACACACACACACACACACACACACACACACACACACACACATACACACACACACACATACACACGCACACTCTCTCTCTGTCTCTCTCTCCTTCTCCCTCTCCCTCTCCCCCTCCCCCTCTCTCTCTCTCTCTCTTTCTCTCTTTCTCTCTCTCTCTCTTTCTTTCTCTCTCCCCATTTCTGTCTCCCTTTCTCTCTCTCTCTCTTTCTCTCACTCGCTCTCACTCTCTCTCTATCTCTCTATCTCTCTATCTCTCTATCTCTCTATCTGTTTGTCTGTCTGTCTGTCAGTCTGTCAGTCTGTCTGTCTATCTATCTATCTATCTATCTATCTATCTGTCTGTCAGTTTGTCAGTCTATCTATCTATCTATCTAATCTGTCTGTCTGTCTGTCTATCTATCTGTCTATCTATCTATAAAAAAGCATCTTCGCTACGTTGGTTCGTTCAATGGTTTCCCTATAAGTGCAGGGCAAAGCATCATCAGTCTTGCTACAGAGGCGTTATTGTCGAGTGTGTGTTCAACCCCCTGTTTGTTTCCTTTGTTTGTGTGTATTTGTTGTTTTTGTTGTTGCTGTTGTTGTTTGAGGGGGTAGGAGTGTTTTTTATTTCTTTTTTTTTCCTCTTTATATTGGTTCCCAACAGTTGGTGGTTGGCGGGTGCTCTGGTGTGGTTTGCTTCTTCTGTCCTATCAAACATCTATCTTCTTTATCTCCCCCTCCTTCTTTTTTGTGTTTGTTACTCTCTTGTAACACCTCTAATCTTCGGCACTTAAATGACCTTATTGTGTTGCAAGTGCCGTAAAACTCTTACTAAAAACTAAAGAGAGTCAAATGGCGCGCTCCATAGTGAACCGGAAATACGTCTGGGTGCGCAATCTTGGATATTACAATATTATAAGTCTATGTCATCATTCAGCTCATTGGCCTGAAAATGCACGCTCATCTTTTTATAAATGCAGAAACAGCGAAACTCGCAAATAAAACGAGAACTATCAAAGGTTTTAGTTTGGTTCAAAAGCATGAATTTATTCCCCGACAAAGGAAAGTCAACCTTTGAGGCTTTTATTTAATTTACTATCCAGTCGTGCCTGCTTTAACCGGCTCTTAGTAGGCTTCGGCCGCCACCCGGGCAAAATTCAAAATTTCCTACCAACTGAAAAATATTAGGTGTGTCCCGCGCGCTCGTATGACCTTATGCAGTTGCGAGCGCCGTAAAACACTTTACAAAAACGTAACCTGCTCTTATTATTATTAAAGTTGGATTGACACTGTCCTACACAGGCGAGTTTTGTCGTTATTGATTTTGTCCAGACGACACGACATAGTGATAGCTTGCACTTTACCACAGCTGCCTATCTGCACTTTCTGCTGACAAATACAGAATTTCATCGTGTTGGTTTGTTTGTTGGATGGTTGGATGGTTGGTTGGTTGGTTGGTTGGTTGGTTGCTTGGTTGGTTGGCTGGTTTAGAGTAAAGAGAAGCACAACGACACAATATTCTCCATTCAATGCTGGGAAAAAGTAAGTCAGACGGACAGCAGACCGAAATAGTGGGTGGTTGGCGGGTGCTCTGGTGTGATTTGCTCTTTCTTTCCTATCAAACATCCGTTATCCTGATCTCTCTTCCTTCTTTTTTATGTTTGTTACTCTCTTGTGACACCTCTAATCTTCTGGCGCTCATATGACCTTTTGCAGTTGCGAGCGCCGTAAAACATCTACTAAATCTACTAAAACTAAGAGGAGCACATCAAACACAATAATCGTCATTCTGTGCTGGGAAAAAGTAAGACAGACTGACAGACAGACAGACAGCAGACCGAAACAAGAGAGGGAAAGTGAAGACGTAAGAACTACCACTGGTGCCCTCAAACTCCAACAAGGGGAGCTCGTGGCCTAGAGGTTAAGGTGTTCGCCTCTCTTTCAATAGGTCCCGGGTTCGAATTCGGATAGCGACGGAAAATATTCTACTCTAAAATATTTTCTGTTCACATCCTTTCCTGCTCTCTAGCAATGTTATGTCGTCTGCTTTCTTCTCTACTTTCTACCCCCTACCGCTCACCTTCTTTGCCCCCTCCTCTGGGCTCCTGGTTCTTTCTGCAGCCTTTCTATTGTTGTTGTTGTTGTTGTTGTTGTTGTTGTTGTTATTGTTATCATCATCATCATCATCATCATCATCATCATCATCATCATCATCATCATCATCATCATCATCATCATCATCATCATCAT